GTATAAGTGGATTATGAAACCCATTACTCCTGTTGAGTAGCTGAAATCTGTTCTTTTTTAATGGTTATGATGTATTGAAGTTTTTTGTAAGGACTGATTCTAGGGCTATATGCTTGTACCTATGGGGCAAAAAGACACCTACATTGAAAAAAGAATAAATGAAAAAATCAAGTTTCATCTATTTTTTAAAAAGGTTATATTCATGACAATCAAATGGTTCGGACATCTACTACGATTACTAACACACCATCCAGCACAACGTGCCTACATAAAAAAATTCGATGGCAACAAGGCTAGAGGGCGACCAAGAAAGAACTGGATAGATGGAAACAGGGAAACATAAACCGCCCACAGCATCCCCCTGACCCCAAGCTCTCCGGCTGGTGACAGAGAGACGTTTCTTTCTTCCCGCGACACCCAAAAGGGTATAAGCGGCGGATAAAAGTAAAAGTAAATAATCATGACACCCAACAGACTCTCACAAAGTAGATGCTATATGTAGAAGGAAACATGTAATATGAAAACAAAATCACTAAGTTACTTATGACCAAGTATCGTTCATCTCCTTAATGTTTTCAGACGAGGATGAAGACGGGAAAAAGTGTCGTCTAGGTCGTGATCCTCGAGAATTCCGACTCCACAGTGTATGGCATCCCTATTTACCAATGATGGGATTTTCTAAGTGTGCCCTCTGTACTTGCCTGGTAAGTCCTTTCAAGTAATGTATTATTATTTTTTAAGAAACCAAGGAAACTGTGATCTGATTCCTAATAATTATAATAATAATAAATTTCACGTACAAATCGCATTTCCACTAAGAAAATATTCAACATGCCAAAGGCTATCCTTTTTCTTCATCTATCTCGCTCTCTCTCTGTCTTTCTCCCTGTGTCTCCCCCTCTTTTTGTCTCTCTCTCTCTGCCTCTCTCTCTTACTCTATCTCTGTCTCTCTCCCCCCCCCCCCCAAAAAAAAAAAAAAAAGAATAACTTGCGCACCCACACCTTGATTACAACACAGTTACTTGTTATATTGAACAGCATTATTAAATTCTAGTAAAGTTCACTACAACATAAATGTGGTCCATATGTGTTCCTGCAAAAATGAGCTCATTTCTTAATGCTGATGTTCAGAAATACACTGTGCAGCAGTTTCTACTTGGTTAACTTAAAATGTAATACAAATCTAGTTTTGGGTGTTTGACAGGCATTCTTGTATGGTTTGCTCCCTCTTTCCCATCAAACGCCTGTGACCCTTATCTCTCTTCGTTCTTTTCTTTGTATGTTACTCTAAAAACATCTGTAATGTTTGGTGATTACTTGACCTAGGTGTGCTGCAAGTGCAGTAAAACTCCAAAATGGTTCATTCTTGCTCTTGTCAATTCTAATTATTACATCATCATCATTGCCTTTCTCACCCTGCATCAGGGCATAGGCCATGAACAAACACATTCTACCTTTTTCTATCCTGGGCTAGCCTCTTGATGTTATTTCATGTCTTCCCATTTTTCTATCATTGCTTAGGAATTACATATATTTTCACTGTTGTTTTAGTTTGTTTTTGTTTTTGCTCATGACGTGATTTTGATTTTGCTTGATTCTCTCTTCCCCTCCTATCTCCATCTCAAAAACCCAACATCAATAATAATGACAACAAACTACAATGACACTCACAACAACAATGATAACAACAACCACAACAACCACAACAACAACAACAACAAAAACAAAAACCACAACAACTACAACCACGAAAACAACAACCACAACCACAACAACCACCTCTAGCCCGGTGGGAAGACAGAGTGCAACAAGCTCCCATGTCCAGCCCCAGCGTGCCCCAAGTCCCAGTGGGTGAGGAGTGAAGAGAACCCATGCTGCCTGGTCTGTGGAGGTGAGTTATGGTTTATCCTTATTGTTGTTGTTGTTGTTGCTGTTACTGTTGTTTTTTCTTCTTTTTGATGTTGCATGTTGCAGTAGTTGTTGTAAATGTTGTTTTGTTTTTGTTGTTACGGTTGTTTTTTTCTTCTTCTATTTGTTGTTGTTGCTGTTGTATGTGTGTGTGTGTGTGTGTGTGTGGGAGCCTATCCTTCCGAATTGTTTGGAGCCCCAAAGAGCATGCTCTTTGCCAGAGCCACCGCCCCTCTTGGGTAGTGGTTGAGGCAATCCAATCTCCCTGAATCTTCCCCAAAGAGATACCACCGCCGGACCTCCGAAGCGGGGCATCTCTGCAGCCAGTGCACCAGATCTTGGGGCTCCTCGCTACACAATGGACAGATTGGGACAGACGTGTTGTCTATTCTATTCTTGTAGGCCGGCAACCCGGAGAAGTTACCAGTCGTGATTTTTGCCAGTAGTGATTGTTCGCAGCGGGACTTAATTTGCTGTTGTTGTTATTACTGTTGCTTTGTTACTGTTGCTGCTGCTTGCTATGACTACTCTTGTTGTTGTGTGGTGTTGTTGTGTGGTGTTGTTGTGTGGTGTTGTTGTGTTAGTTCTTGTTGCTTTTTGCTGTTGTTGTGTTTGTTATTGTTTCTACTGCTGTTTTTGTATGTCTTATTGTTGTGTTTGTTATTGTTTCTACTGCTGTTTTTGTATGTGTTATTGTTGTGTTTGTTATTGTTTCTACTGCTGTTTTTGTATGTCTTATTGTTGTGTTTGTTATTGTTTCTACTGCTGTTTTTGTATTTGATATTGTTGTGTTTGTTATTGTTTCTACTGCTGTTTTTGTATGTGTTATTGTTGTGTTTGTCATTGTTTCTACTGCTGTTTTTGTATGTGTTATTGTTGTGTTTGTTATTGTTTCTACTGCTGTTTTTGTATGTGTTATTGTTGTGTTTGTTATTGTTGCTACTTGCTGTTTTTGTATGTGTTATTGTTGTGTTTGTTATTGTTGCTACTGCTGTTTTTGTATGTGTTATATATTGTTGTTGGTGTTGCTGCTGCTACAGTGTGTGGTTGGTGGGTGCTTTGGTGTGGTTTGCTCCTTCTTTCCTATCAAACATCTATCATCCTTATCTCCCCTCCTTCTTTTTTATGTTTGTTACTCTCTTTTAACACCTCCAATCTTTGGCACTTATTGTATTCGGCCTAATTGTATGGCAAGTGCCGTAAAGCTCTCACTAAAACTAAAGCTGCTGCTGCTGCTTGGTACTGCTGTTGTTACATGTGTTATTCTTGTTTTTGATGTTGTTGTTTAAAAAAAAATTGTTATTGATAGTGTTAGTAGGGGTAGTGGTCTTAATTTATGTTATTGTTGTCACTGAAGATGATTTTTTTTCAAGGGTTTTTTTTTGCTTATGGTGATGGTGGGCATTTGGATGGTGGGATTAACAAGAATGATGCTGGTATTGGCCATTTCTATTGTTGCCTGTATTGTGTCTTTTCCTAATATTGTTGTTGCTGCTGCTGCTGCTTTTGATGCTGTTGTTTGTTCTCAAAAGTAGAAGTGTGAGGGGAAACAATTGATAAACTCTTGACTGTTCCTTCCATATTTGTCCCCCTTCCCCTCTCTCTTTTTGTAATGTCTTTTATATCAATCAATATGCTTTTATTTATACCTTCCCCCCTCCCAAGATGGCTTTTGGGGTAGTAAATAAGCCAACTGCACATCAGAAAGAAGTGTAGTGACTCTTATGGAGGAATGTGGCTCATAAAACATGCTCCGAGGTTTATGTGTACTGCTTCCTTTTCTTGGTGAATCCTGCTTTCTCTTACCACTAGGCCAAATGATCTGATAAAAAATTTTCTTCAAATATTTAATTAGTGACATTGATTAATAGAGAAGTAATATTCTTCTCTATTAATCTATGAATAGATCTACTTCCTGAAAAAGATATTTTTGCTTGACGCCAAAAAAAAAAATGTTTCGGTGTACATTTCCATGTTTCTTTTCAGACCCTCCAACTACTGAAGCACCTGTTGAAGAGCCGCAGAAAGATATCAATATGAATGGAGGTAAGGAAATATTTATATTTTTCTTGAACTTGCTGTCTGTCTATATATTTTTGCCTTTTTTCATATGGGAGAGGAGGTTGTTCTGTCCCTTTAAATGTCTTAGAAGATATGGACATTAGAATAGAAAGTACTTGCTTGCTCTTACGTGTTACTGGTTGAAAGATGTGTAAAAAACTGGCAGTTCACTCCTCAAAGATCTAACTTTTATTTGTGTAGGTGGTTGGCAGGTGCTCCTGTGTGGATTATGGATTACTTCTTCTTTCGTATCAAACATTTATCGTCCTAACATCTCTTCCTTCTTTTCTTCATATGTTACTCTCTATTAACACCCATAATCATCGGCATTTGTATAGCCTAATTGTATTACTAGTTTTGTGAAATTGTTTTTTAGACTTAACTTTTTTTGTGTGTTTTCAAGTGGCAGGAAGGGAAGAGGGAGGGGAAGAAAAAACTTTGACAATCAGTACAACTGCTAAAATCTTCTATCCACAGCGTGCAATTTCTTGGGTGAAGTGAAAAGCAATGGTGACAGATGGCATCCAAATATTCACCCCTTTGGCTACATGAAATGTTTCTTCTGTGAATGCAAGGTACAACTACAACCCTTTGCCTCTATATTGCCGTACAGCACAATTGTCATTAGGTCCTTTTTATGTTCCAGGCCATGCCCTGTGGAAAATACCTTTAGTTTGTGAGTCTGAGGCCACGTTTGCCTTGGATAGTGAACCAATATCATAAAAAGAAACGATACATAGAAATGGTATATTCTGCTTGTGTTTTTTAACTCAAACTCAAACTTAAAGGATGTGCTTATAGGATCTATTTATTTTCCTCCAGGATGGAGAGTTCCACTGTGGTCGTCTTCAGTGCCCTATCTTGAGCTGTGTACGGAGAAGGAAGCGTCCCAATGTTTGTTGTGAGGAGTGTGCAGGTACGGATTATCATGCTTGATTCTATTGTGAGCATATTGATGAGATGAAAAGAAACCATTATTGTACCGTCAGAAATATCCAAAGGGGGCTCTCGTGGCCTAGAGGTTAAGGTGTTGGCCTCTCATTCAAAGGTCCCGGGTTCGATTCCGGGTAGCGACCAAAAATTTTTCTTCTCTAAAATTGTCTCCTTTCACCTCCTTTCCTGCTCTCTAACAATGTTCTGTTGTCTGCTTTCATTTCCACTTTCTGCCCCCACCCCCTCACCTCCTTTGCCCCCTCCTCTGGGCTCCTGACTCTTTCTGCAGCCTTTCTACTGCTACTCCTTAGCTCCTCCTTACTGCTGTCTTTCTGCCACACCCCTGATCTTCTGGTAGGAAAGATCTACACCTAGCCTTCTCGGACAAGGGCGAAAAATCTCGGAGGGCCTGTGTGCAAGTTGCGCACGTTAAAGATCTCTTGGTGGTCTAAAATCGATAAGAGTAGGCTTCGGCCGCCACCCGGGCAAAATTCAAAATTTCCTACCCACTGAAAATATTAGGTGTGTCACGTGCGCTCATATGACCTTATGCAGTTGCGAGCGCCGTAAAACACTTTACAAAAACAAAAACAAACAAAGAAATATCCAAGATGGCCTCTTATTGTTGAGGAGAAAAGTTGTTGTCTTAGACAAGAGGATGCCTTATATGATGTGATTATTGTTTAAGAAATGCAATGGGATGACCGGCAGAGTATGAAGTTGTAGATAGACCACTGTCGAATTTTCAGATTTTGTGAGATGCAGACTGAAAGTGTGGGTGGTTGGCGGGTGCTCTTGTGTGGTTTGCTCCTTCTTTCCTACCAAACATCTATCGTCCTGATCTCTCCTCCTTCTTTTTGTGTTTGTTACTCTCTTGTAACACCTTTAATCTTCAGCACTTATATGAACGTATTGTGTGGCAAGTGCTGTAAAACACATGACTTTTAGTGCGAGCATATTATATAACTTTCAACATTGAGAGAGTAGCTAGTTTTAAAAAATACTTTCAGTCTTTTCAGTTTTAGTAAGAGTTTTACAGCTCTTGCCCCACAATACGGTCATATAAGTCTGTGTGGGATAAAGCCTTCCACTTCCAGTGAAAAGATCAAATAGGCTGCCCCGCATGGTGATTAAACTCACGTCTTTAAGACGCAACAGAGGGGACCCTTATCATGATGCCACAGGTGCCAGCAGTAAAAAGCAGAAGCATTTATATTGGCAATGTTACTCGGAGTGGTGATGGTGGTAAGAATGGTGATTTGATCTTTTGACTGGAAGTGGAAGGCTTTATCCCTCACAGTCCAGGCTGTTTCTTACAAGCAAGGTCAAAGCATCCCACCTCCTAGAACATCTCGCATGCTGGATGGTATGAAGACATAAGACATGTTACTATCAGTAGATAGTCATCACATTCTCTTCATCAGTGGTTGGTCAGTGGATACTTTTGTGTGGTTTGCTCCTTCTTTTCTTTCAAACATCTATCACCTTCATCTCTCTTCTTCTCTTTTGTGTTTGTTACTCTCTTCTAACACCTTTCTTTGTTTTTTATAAGTGTTTTACGGCGCTTGCAACTGCATAAGGTCATATGAGCGCGCTAACACCTCTAATCTTTAGCACCAAAATGACCTTGTGTTGCAAGTGCTGAAGAACTTTTAGTAAAACTGAAACTCTTCTCTTCATCATTCGTGTTCACCTACTTTTGTATTCCTCCTTCTTATCTTTCATTACATTATATAATTTCCCTTCTCAGCCGACCAACCAGAGGAGCCAAGAGTGAAGAAAAAGAAAGATAAACAAAAAGGTCAACTGTCGAAAGGTGAGCAAAAACCAAAGAGGTTATATTTAGTACTCGAGTTCATGGCAGTGATATCCCCCACGTAAACCAACAGGGGCTGCGTTTGCCCACCTTGGGAATCTGAACCTCAAGGTGATAGGTGGGTTCTTTTCGACTCTAACGTGGAGGCTTCTCGGCGGTCTTACAAGCTTGCACTGAAATATGGGGTCTGAGTGGTGTTTAATATACTACAGTTCATGGGGAACAGGATGGGGGCTCAGATTGTTCATATAAATTTTAAAGAGGGGGGGGGGGGGCAGCCATGCCTATGAGGATAAGAAAGGCCCCATACCTGACACGTGTGACGTCACTGCTGTGAGCTCTGTATATTAACCTCTTTGGCAAAAACACATGAATGTGGGTGGTTGGCGGGGGCTCTGGTGTGGTTTGCTCTTTCTTTCTTATCAAACATCTATTGTCCTTATCTTTCCTCCTGATCTTAGGTGTATGTTAGTCTCTAGTAACATGTTTCTATAATCTTCGGCATTTGTTTGACCTGTTTGCATTGCAAGTGGTGTAAAATTCTTACGAAAACTAAAATTATGAATTTGTAGACTAATGTGTAGTGTGGGATGATATAGGGGAAGACAACGATGTTTACAGTGTGCTGTATGTATACTCATGTAACTTGTTTTGGATGCATTTATTTGTCTTCGTGTGTATGTGCGTGATTATTTGTGTATGTTTGTGTGTGTGTTTGTGTGTGTGTGTGAGGGAGGGAGAGAGAGAGACAGAGACAGACAGAAATAGAGACCAATGAAGAACTTAAAGAGTGGTAAAAATGGAGGTCCAAACTGAGAGAGTAGAAGGAAGGAGGTTGGGGAAAGAAGGAAGAAGGGGGTAGGAAGCAACTGGGCAGAAAACAAGTAGACAGAGAGAGAGATGAGGACATTGAGTTAGAGTAGATTGAATCAGATAATACAGAAAAATATACAGCATACTCAGGCAGTTTATAAACGAGTCATTCCTTTTTTCCATCATTACGTCTATGTATCTACCTGTCCATCCATCTACTCATCTATTCTTTGTGGATGGATGGTAGGTGCTCTGGTGTGGTTTGCTCCTTTTTAACTGTCAAACATCGATCATCTCTATCTCTCCTTCTCTTTGTATATTACTCTCTAAACCATGCAGTAACACTTTTAATTTTTTTTTAGCATTTGTATGATCTTATTGTGTTCCATGTGCCATAAAACTCTTACAAAAATTGAAAAAAAAAAAGAAATTACTTTTGCTTTAATCCACCCATCTGTCTGTTCCAACAGATTGCAGCTTTGCTGGAACACCATACAAAAACGGCCAAAGATGGCGGCCTAACTCATCACCAGCTGGAAGTGGAGAATGTGCTGTGTGCAAATGCACGGTAAGCTTTTGTGTTTATAGAACTACAGTGTACTTACTGGGTTTTATGTGCGTGTGTGTGTGGGGGGGTTATGTGTATATGTGTGTGTTTGTGTCTGTGTGTGTGTGGGTTTATGCATGTGTGTGTGTGTATATGTGTGTGTGTCTGTGTGTTTATGTGTAGCTTTAAATCGGTATTCTGCATGAGTGGGTAGTGCAAGGCTTTAACACGATGGCTTGGTGAATACATTTTCAAGTTTCTTTTGGACACCACTATATCATTGCTCGGCGTAGACTTGTGATGACATAGAAAAGTTATGAACCTTCAAGACCAGATTAATGACTTATAATGAGAACAAAGCCCTTAAAAATCTATTGCAGCTGTGTCCTTTAACAGAGTTAACTATTTAGCATAAATTTACTGAATGCAGAGAATATGTATGTGAAGGGGTTGGGGATGGGTATGCTTACTCAGCCATCTTGGCCAGCACTCACTATCTCAACCCGCCATGTGGGTAGAGTTATTTTTTGGGGACAAAAATGGCAACGTTCCCTACTTTAGCAAAAAAGTTACCATGGACAATGATAGTAGCCTATTAACAAAGGCAAGAAATAGAAAAGTCAATCTACCCCAGGTCTCCTGTTGACCACACTCACAAATTTAACCGATTCAGCCTGTAGCGCCGCCCTCACACAGCGGCTGACTGTCTCCTGTGTTTTGACCCAAAGCCACTCAGAGCACCTCTTTTTATATATATTTCTCCCTTTTTTCTCTTATTTTTTCCTTATCACTTACATTTCAACCTTTTTTTTCTGGTGTCATTTGATACTCATTTTTATTCTGAACATCTGTGTGCCACACATACGGTTTAAAAAAAATCAAGTTTAGATATTTCTTAGTCAACTTTTTGTGAAACTACGTATTCGTGAGGTCACGAAGCAGCCACAAATTATCTACAGGCTGACCACACACAAACTTAAAGCAAAGAGAAACCTACTAATGTGAAGCACCTCATCTATGTTCCCAGGAAGGAAACGTCCAGTGCAGACTCCGATGTCCTCGTGTGTGTAAAGAGGACATGGCCAAAAACCCCTGCTGCAGACATTGTCCAGGTAATAATAATAATTATAATAATAATATAATAATAATAGACCTTATAATAATAAAATAATAATAATGATAATAGTAATACTGAATAAATTAATAATGATGGTGATGATGTTGACAATAATAATAATAATAATAATAATAATAATGAATGATAATATTGATAATAATAATAGTAATTATGATGATAATGATAATTTTTAAAAAAATGAAAATAATAATAAAATAGTAATAACAATAGTGTTTGCGCTAAGAATGTAGAATACAATAAACGTCTATCCACGGTCACAAAAAAGTTTTATGGGGGATGGATTGTTTATCAGTTGTCATAAGATGAGAACTTTTCCTGTTCTGTACAATTATTGGAGAATATAAAACTCTGTACAGTTAAACCTTCTCTGACAGTCGCCTTTATAAGACCTTTGTGGCATCGGTGGCCTAGTGGTTAGGCTCTTGGACTCGCAACCGTAAGGTCGTGGGTTCGAATCCCATCAGGGGCCCGACGTTGTGTCCTTGGGAAAGGCACTTTACTCGAGTTTTCCTCACTTCACCCAGGTGGGAATGGGTACCTAGCTATAGACAGTGAAAGATCTTGTCAGTTTGTTAGTGTTTGAGCGCTTAATCAGCTGCTTCCACTGTATGCTTCCTGGGAAACTGAGAATGTTTCGGAGTGTTCTATGGTCTGCTGGGGTAATAATATAGTGTAAAGCGCATAAAGCCTGCTGTTGAGCGGGGATATGCGCTATACAAATGCTATTTATTATTATTATTATTAAGACAAAAGACAAATACCTGTGGGAGGGGGCACTTCCCACTTACACTCGACCCTCCAACTCCCCCTCCCCTTTTTGCATTTCTTTTAGATTCCAATGACAGTGTACATAAATGTCCTTCAGTCAAAGACAATTACTTATCTCTCACAGTGGGTGGTCGTCTCAAACAACTGTGACTGTATTTGATGCCTATTCTGAACGTACATGTTTTTATGGTAATGTTTCGTTGCTGTCATCATTATTGTTTTTATCATTTTAAAAAATTGTTGTTGTTGTTGTTGACGTGTT